CCAGAGGATCTATAGATGCTTATCTGGCCTTTGAGAAAATTTGAAGGCTCGCTTCTTGAAGGACCATAAATCGTACTGGTTTGGAAATACCTCCGAATAAACAAAAATGGAAGAAAGTTCAAATAACTTAGTTTTCTTTGTCGTTGCGTTGGGTGAGACTTCAAATTTGCTATTTAGAGTTGACAAAAACCTAAAAAGGAGCCGGAAAGGCTCTACTAAAATAAAGGTAGAAAACAAGACATTGTATCATTTTTTTTCCCGGATGACTACTTTTGACATTATAAATATAGAAAGAAATCCCTAGCATTGTATCGTTCAAATATCCAGCAAATATTAGATTCTCAATTTAAAACATTTGGCAAACCATCATGAATATATTCATCACCTTTTATCTACGCAGGGTTGACATTATTCCCTGTCTCTTCCATACATCATCGGTCAAATCGTAATTTCTCTATTTACGCATATCCTCTATCACGCACTCAGTTCAAAGGTAGAAGAAAACGTAAGTTAAAAAAAATATTCGAAATGCAATCAGTTTCGGCCAGTCAAACATGTAAACAAGATTTATACTTCCAGTAGAAATTGAAAAGTACTTACCTGATGTTACTTTTAATTTAGACTTTTTGGTCTACAATAATTAAGAAACCCTAGAACTTGAACCTATATAAAAGGGTGCAGAAGTGTATTATGATAGTACACTGTCTCTCGAAGTGCAGTGGAAATGGAAGTTTTTAAATAAGTTCATAATATAATACTACTTCAATAAAATACTGCTCGAAGTTTTGGGGGTCGCTAAATAAAATGAGCAGGAAAAGTGTTTTGTCTGATGAATTTAGCAATGTGAAGTCATTTTTCCTAAGGTACGTGGTAGACCAAAAAGTTAGATAAAAATTGATCTATTTCTAATGTACCTAGAAAAACAAAATCTATAAAAAAATGATGCATGGGATACTAGAAAATGATGAAATAGATGAATAAGGAAAGATCTACAGACAAAAGGTAGATCTAAGATTTAGATTGAAAACTTAACCAACTCTCTGATGTAATGACACTGAAGAAGAAAATATTATTATTAATTTTTGCCGACACAAGTGGTGAATGTGATACTGCATTTTTAAAGATGTCTTACGTCACTGAGAGGACAGATAGTGCATGAAGTGCAACGATAAAAGTGTATGTCATCGGATTACCACTTACTAACACTCCGTGATAAATTGAGTTAAAAAAATAACACTATCTCCCAATTGTAAGTTGGGTAATGGTATTAGTATGGCTTGTAAAAGTTAGAAAGGTTTATTCCATAGCTCTGTTATAGTGTAGTACAGATTATTGGTTTCGTCTAGATGTGACTACAACCATCGACGTCACATAGTCTCTACACAAAGGCCGCTGTACATGAAATATCGCCTTAGTAAATTCAACAAAACATTAAATACGGTTTACTTAATAAAACAGTTTTAATCGACCATCTTTGTGGCAAACATGAGATTATCGCTGTGATCGTGCGTAACGATCTTTTTTTTCGTTGCAATTATAAAAATACCTTTGTCAAAATGTAAATCATTTGATTCGACCTGAATTTTTCGTCGTCCTAATTATTTTGACCGGTATAAAAGTTAAGGCGCACTGCCGCCCCATTGTGGGCACGATGGGAATGCCCACGATCTTTTTTGGCCCCTGGAGGGCTTGTTTCCTAACATTGCTTAGTGATCTAAACTGACGAGTTCAATATTGTTAAAATCATAGTATTAAAAATTAGTTCAATACATTAAATACTGTTAACGTAATTTTAATGAAAAAGTGAAGAACTCATTAAGTTAATTAAAGCTGGATGGTGTAGGTATGGTGTATAAATGAATCGAAGTATTTGAGCTTAGATCTAAAACATTTATTAATGAAATTTCTTCAAATATTACAATACACACGTTGCTAATTTCCATCGATTTCATAATCTACGCAGTGAACCGATTCAAAACTTGTAAACTAATTACAGAGAAACTCTGACGGGCGTTTAGTGGTAAGAAATTCACAAGTTCTGAAATGGCATTTCGGTGTTTGGCAAAACGTATTTAATACAGAGTAGCTTTGCTCCCGGACTTTGACATCATAACGACGTAGCAAATATTGCAAATAATATAATAGCATCAAAAACACTTATTTAAATGTCACATACTGCTCACACTTGGGATTTTATTAAAAGAATAACTTAAAATTCTTAGACTATTCGTTATTAGAAACATTTGTTACGTCTCTATGTATGAGAAATCAGTTCTGTGTTGCTGATTCGTTGATATCTGCATTTCTAACTTCCTCATAACATTACAAAATATAGTAATGTTGCACACAACATGCAAAACGGGAATAAATAAAAATAATTTCACTTCATATCCTAAGTTATTTATGAGAATACTAAAAAATAATTCTATTTAGTTTTTAATTAATAAAGTGGAAACAAACAACAGGTGACTGCAGGTAATTGCGCTAAATGCGAGACCAAACAAAATAATCATTAAATCGTGTTTCAAAAAATTTACTGTATCAAAAAATCTTGTTTCAACAAGAAAGCACCTTTAACCTAAGACTATTTTTATGCTGAACCCTATTTCGCTGTAATAAATACTTCGCTTTCTTGTCATACATCTTATGATGGCGTAGAAAATATAATTACTTTTTCATACAGGAAAAATAGGTAATATTGCGTGCAGTTATTGTTTATATTTTAATTTAGAATACACGATAAGCTATTCTGCATGAGAGAACCTAGTCTTTTATTTAACAATAAAAACTGAAAATAATGCTAAAAAATAAAATATAAAATCTATATTTATTTAGAACAAGGAAGATGATAATTGTACAGATTTAATTAAAAAGAGAAGTAAGATCTCGAGATTTTTATTGTAATGAATTTTTGGAACTACACCTTACTTGTCTACCTTGTTGAATTACTACTATATAAACTTGTACGAGAATTACAATTTCCTAATGCAATTTTAAGAGAGAACCATATATCTTCAATTACCATAATTATCTTGTCCATTTTCCACGTTTTAATAGGTTGGGCACAAGCGATTTTAATATTTTCTTTTATGTTTTAAAAATATGTTATGTAAATAAATGTTTTTATAACTATCAAATTAACTTAAAATTTATCATACTGCAAATAATAATTAAGTTCATAATATTAGATGTTTTCTTATGTTTTAGAATAATTAAACTAAATACCACCAAAGTGCATTACAACATTAATAATTTAATATTTTCCTGTGTTTGCGGTAGACATAAAAGCCACAAGATGCTGGGCGTTGTTTTCCCTCAAGCCCAACTTTCAGGGTAGGGGTTAGGTTTGACTGAGAACTGAAGTTTATCCTATACTGAATTAGGTTATACAAAACCATTTTCAGCAATAAATCATTAAACATTCAAAATTTGATATATATTTTTATACTTTATCCTCCTGAGTCAGTTGGGCAAATATAAAAGTAAAATCTGATATGCAAATTGTAAGCCCTTTCGACTTGCCTTGCATGTGTGCACTTGATTCGGTAATTACCTACCACAAATTTAAAATCTAAATATGCTATAGCCGATACTAGTTTACAGAAGAGAATTTCTGTTGCCGCTGGTCTTATAAAATAATATATAAACTCTTAATCGCGACTAACCCAATGGTTAAGAAACGGGTTTTGATGCTGCTAATGCAGTCAAATGTGACGTGTTTTGTGACGTCACGTGAGGGGGTAGTTAGAACCGACGGCGTTTGTTAGGGTAATCGTCCATATGGCGGGGCCCCTCCCAACCGCGCGTCTGCGGCGGCATGTCGTCATAGCCCCCGCGCGGCATGTCGTACTGCTCTCTGAAGCCTCCTTCCTAAAGTGGGCAATCATAAATGTGGCCAATATTTCTTTTTGTAACCAAAAATATCATTCTTACGACTAAAAGTGATACAATGACGAACATTAGAAGGTATATTACAACTTGGGACTATCTGAGACGGTAAATCTATTTTACACTTATTGACGTCCCTTAGAGAATGCCACTATGATAACAATTTATTCTAATTTTTGTTGAATAGTTGAAATCAAACCTGTAAAAAATAGATAAGAAGAAAAAGAAGAACTGCATCAGAGGAAATACAATTCTCTTTTCTACTCACACTCCAATATTAACCCTTTGCACCCCGCTGCCGCCGTAGCGGCGACATGGTTAATTTACTGCTCAGACGCCCTTAACTTAGTTAGCTAAGCATAATAGTCTGTGCTTAACTTATAGTGTTTATGATACATTTATTATACTTACAGTGTAATAAGAGTAAAAAGTACTGTATCTAAGTTACAAGTTAATCGTTACATTCATAACGTTATAACCCTCGCACTTGTGCCGGTAAACCGCGAATACATATGGGCAATTGTTTCGAAAGACGTTATTATCACACTAAGAAATTTGAAGTCCTAAGATTTATGTTTTTATTTTACAGTATAGGTTTTGTTTATAAAATAGCTAATAAATGAAAATAAAAATGATAGGTATGTACTTGGATCTAATATAGTGCTGTTGCTAGTAGCCTCTATGCATTACTAGGCTGGAGTGCAAAGGGTTAATATCTTGTTTGACCACTTTATATAACATGTGAAACTGGTACAACGTCGTATTCTTTTTACTTGCACTAAACTACTCCATACAACATCGTATAAATTTCAATTGGTCGACAAATTAAAAATAAAATAATTCCGTTAGTTATAGACATAGATACTTGCTTATGTATAGGTTTATATATCCAGTCAGGGTAAAAATCTGTACTGAACTTCAGAGGCATACAATAAGACTATTTGAAGATATGAAAAAATTAATGAGGTAATTTGTAGGTCCGTAAAATGTGTGCACCACAACGGTCATCCTTTCAATCCCCTCCATTCTATAAGATTATAGCCCACGAGTTGAATCAACTCCATTTATGCAGAAAATAAGTATATCACATATACGTTTTACGTTCGCATTAAATGAGGCCGAAATGAGAACCTTTACATATAACAGAGACACTAGTATTTTCACGGACGAAAACAGTAGTTCGTGCAAATAATCATTGCAAAATATTTTTACCAACGTCTTACAATATAATACGTGTTTGTAGTACTCAGTTGAGCACGATTCGAAGGTTAATGAAAAAATGTGCATTTCCTTCATAATCTCCAGTGATTACGTAATTTAAAAGCAATAAAGCATAGTCTCAGATAGCCCTTTTAGTTACAAACCTTTGTACCACCACACACTACATTTCAAATACAAGCGCCACGCAGAATTAGAAAAGTCTCCTATAATATTTTTCTACTAGTCATTTTAATCACTGATTTATAAAATCAGGTAATAGTTTAACGTATATTATGGCTAAGAAAAATTAAGTCTTTATATGTGAATACAAGTTTACCAAAAAATGTAACATGTCCAGCATGCCAATGTTATTACGAAGAAATTCATGGTGCATAAAAAAGTTAAAAATCAGTAAGTTGGACTGTTTCAGCCATGTACTACTTAAATAGTAGAAATTAAGTACTAAAAAATATAAGGGCAAGACATAATTGGCCAACAAATAAAAAATGTGTCATTGTAAAAACTGCGTTAAAACAAGCATTAAAGACATCAAAGATTGAGATTCCGTTAGTAATCTGTACCAGAGGATAACCATTTTACCAGTTTACTATGATGTATGGACATTAACCACTAAATATCATAAATTGTAATCAGGTCATAGTTTATGAAACCAAAGCAGGTATTTTATTTATAAAATAAAAATCTTCATTAACACAGTAATCAATAACAGTTTTCAAATATGTGCCAAAATAACTAAGATTATGTAAGAATGATAAATCGGCTTTATTCATACACACAAAATCTCTGTTAATCTTACTAATACTATAAATGTGAAAGTTTAGATGGATGGATGAATGTTTGTTAAGAGTTTGTAGACCAAATGGCTGAACGGATTACGATGAAATTTGATGTAGATGTAGTGTTAGTCTGGAAGAAAACTTTTGTTGTGTTCAATTCCACACGGACGGAGTCGCGGGCGAAAGCTAGTTTGTTTATAAAATAATATTCATGGTAAGCTAATTATCCTGCAGGTATTCTATATTGTCTAAAGAAATATTTTGAAACACAGCACTTCAAATATAATTTCTGAAATCTATGCTATATTTATATATAGGAGATTGATGTATGAAGTAACTGACGGCAACATAACTTGTTACCATCAATCGTTCAGAATCAGAGGAAATCACACACTGTCGCCAAATATTCTTAGAGTTTACAGTGGTTTTAGTACATATCATCAATATATTGACTTATTTTCGCAGTGGACACTTAATATTAAGAAATATCTTAATATGCCCTATTAATATATTAAATTTTCTCATTAAGTTTTCTTCGACCGTTATTTATTTCGCAAAAAGTTTGTTAAAGAGAATAATTAATTTTATCAGCAAGAATTGGTAAAATATTTCAATTCAATGGAATAAAGGTTATCACAGAGCCTTTGCATAGTAGAATTTGACATATTTCTTGTACATATAATTATATCTAAAAGTTTTCTCTATAGTAATTTAGATAAACTTCTAGTTGGAGTGTGCATATGTTGGTACATTTGTGTGAGCATGTAAAGCAAGCAATACGACTTACCATTGGCTGCTGCTGATCAAACATCCCCTGTTCTTGTCTATCCAACATTGAATTCAACCTTTGTGCCTGTGGACAAGGAAAAAAAATATAAATTATATTGCTCGCGACTTCGACCGAATGAAATTATAAAATATAGCCTATAAACTGACAATTTGATGATTAAAGAAATCTTAAAATCTACCTTGTAGTTCTTGAGTTATTTTAATACATGTAAAATTATAAATCTTTCCACTTTATAATTATAATATAGATATTGAATAAACTAACAGGTATAAAAAGGTGTTACTTAGAAATAGGGACAGATTAACAGTTTACTTTGATGTGAAGAAATTAAAAAATCCTAAAACCCCAGTTTAAAATTGAGTCTAGACACCATTACAAGTACACATCATACTATCATTATAAATGCGACAGTTTAGATGGATGAATGGATAGTTGTTTGTTAGACTTTGTTGCCTAAACGGCTGACGGGATTTCTTTGAGATTTGGTACAAATGTAGTAGATAGTCTAAAAGAATACA